TTCGTGTCTTCGAGTTCCAGAACTCCATTCCCGGGCCACATTTTGAATGCCCGGAGCCAACTGTAGGCCACTTCGTGGTCTTCGAGTTCCCAGAACTCCATTCCTGGGCATAATTTTGAATGCCCAGAGCCAACTGTAGGCCACTTCGTGTTCTTCGAGTTCCCAGAACTCCATTCCCGGGACACATTTTGAATGCTGAGGCAGGCTGATGCTGAGGCTGAGGCAGGCTGAGGCTGAGGCAGGCTGAGGCTGGAGGCTGAAGGCAGACTGAGGCTGAGGCTGAAGCAGGCTAAGGCTCAGGCTGAGGCAGGCTGAGGCTGAGGCTGAGGCAGGCTGATGCTGAGGCAGGCTGAGGCTGAGGCTGAGGCTGATGCAGGCTGAGGCTGAGGCAGGCTGAGGCTGAGGCCGAGGCTTCAGGCAGACTGAGGCTGAGGCTGAAGCAGGCTGAGGCTGAGGCTGAGGCAGAGGCAGGCTGAGGCTGAGGCTGAGGCTGAGGCAGGCTGATGCTGAGGCAGGCTGAGGCTGAGGCTGAGGCTGATGCAGGCTGAGGCCGAGGCAGGCTGAGGCTGAGGCTGAGGCTGATGCAGGCTGAGGCTGAGGCAGGCTGAGGCTGAGGCCGAGGCTGAAGGCAGACTGAGGCTGAGGCTGAAGCAGGCTGAGGCTGAGGCTGAGGCAGGCTGAGGCTGAGGCAGGCTGAGGCTGAGGCTGAGGCAGGCTAAGGCTGAGGCAGGCTGAGGCTGAGGCTGAGGCTCATGCAGGCTGAGGCTGAGGCAGGCGGAGGCTGAGGCCGAGGCTGAAGGCAGACTGAGGCTGAGGCTGAAGCAGGCTGAGGCTGAGGCTGAGGCAGGCTGAGGCTGAGGCTGAGGCATCTGATGCTGAGGCAGGCTGAGGCTGAGGCTGAGGCTGAGCCCGAGGTTCGAGGCTGAAGACGACTGGACGCAGCGGCCGACGGCAAGGCTGGGGCCTGATGCTGAGGCAGGCAGAGGCTGAGGCTGATGCTGAGGCAGGCAGAGGCTGAGGCTGAGGCAGGCTGAGGCTGAGGCAGGCTGAGGCTGAGGCTGAGGCTCATGCAGGCTGAGGCTGATGCAGGCGGAGGCTGAGGCCGAGGCTGAAGGCAGACTGAGGCTGAGGCTGAAGCAGGCTGAGGCTGAGGCTGAGGCAGGCTGAGGCTGAGGCTGAGGCAGGCTTATGCTGAGGCAGGCTGAGGCTGAGGCTGAGGCTGATGCAGGCTGAGGCTGAGGCAGGCTGAGGCTGAGGCCGAGGCTGAAGGCAGACTGAGGCTGAGGCTGAAGCAGGCTGAGGCTGAGGCTGAGGCAGGCTGAGGCTGAGGCTGAGGCATGCTGATGCTGAGGCAGGCTGAGGCTGAGGCTGAGGCTGATGCAGGCTGAGGCTGAGGCAGCCTGAGGCTGAGGCCGAGGCTGAAGGCAGACTGAGGCTGAGGCTGAAGCAGGCTGAGGCTGAGGCTGAAGCAGGCTGAGGCTGAGGCTGAGGCAGGCTGAGGCTGAGGCTGAGGCAGGCTGAGGCTGAGGCAGGCAGAGGCTGAGGCTGAGGCTGATGCAGGCTGAGGCTGAGGCAGCCTGAGGCTGACACCGAGGCCGAAGGCAGACTGAGGCTGAGGCTGAAGCAGGCTGAGGCTGAGGCTGAGGCAGGCTGAGGCTGAGGCAGGCTGAGGCTGAGGCTGAGGCAGGCTGAGGCTGAGGCTGTGACTGCGACTGCCGTTGCCACAGCGACTGTCATCGCGAATGCGACTACGACTGCGAGAACAGCAGAATTCTACAACTGGATTCTCATCTGAATCGTAAGGGGAATGCTTCCAGATATGCTCCTACACATCGCTGTTAGGTTGCTTTGCCGGGATAATTACCTAACAGCGAAGAACTGCATAGGTTTACTAATGGGTATCAAAAGAAAGCCTCTTGACTCCTCAGAACAAAAAAAAGCCAACAAAAACATCAAAAAAAACCTTCCCCCCCAAACAAACATCTCAAAAAGGGGGGTAGGGCAGATGCCGACGGTGCCAGGGAGAATCCGCGAAGTCGTTTTAAATAAACAGTTACACACGTTGTGGTCTTCGAGTCTACGAGGTCCCAGAACACCATCCCCCGGCCACGACCAAATGCCCGGAGCCAACTGTAGCCACTGTCGTGTTTCTTCGAGTTTTCCCAAAAGAAAAACTCCATTCCCAGGCCACATTTTGGATGCCCGGAGCCAACTGTAGGCACTTCGTGCTCTTCGACTTCCCAGAACTCCATTCCCGGGCCACATTTTGGATGCCCGGAGCCAACTGTAAGCCACTTCGTGGTCTTCGAGTTCCCAGAACTCCATTCCTGGGCATGATTTTGAATGCCCGGAGCCAACTGTAGGCCACTTCGTGTTCTTCGAGTTCCCAGAACTCCATTCCCGGGCCACATTTTGAATGCTGAGGCAGGCTGATGCTGAGGCTGAGGCAGGCTGAGGCTGAGGCAGGCTGAGGCAGAGGCCGAGGCTGAAGGCAGATTGAGGCTGAGGCTGAAGCAGGCTGAGGCTGAGGCAGGCTGAGGCTGAGGCTGAGGCAGGCTGAGGCTGAGGCTGAGGCAGGCTGAGGCTGAGGCTGAGGCAGGCTGAGTCTGAGGCAGGCTGAGGCTGAGGCTGAGGCTGAGGCAGGCTGAGGCTGAGGCAGGCTGAGGCTGAGGCCGAGGCTGAAGGCAGACTGAGGCTGAGGCTGAAGCAGACTGAGGCTGAGGCTGAGGCAGGCTGCGGCTGAGGCTGAAGCAGGCTGATGCTGAGGCAGGCTGAGGCTGAGGCTGAGGCTGATGCAGGCTGAGGCTGAGGCAGGCTGAGGCTGAGGCCGAGGCTGAAGGCAGACTGAGGCTGAGGCTGAAGCAGGCTGAGGCTGAGGCTGAGGCTGAGGCTGATGCAGGCTGATGCTCAAGCAGGCTGAGGCTGAGGCTCAGGCTGATGCAGGCTGAGGCTGAGGCATGCTGAGGCTGAGGCCGAGGCTGAAGGCAGACTGAGGCTGAGGCTGAAGCAGGCTGAGGCTGAGGCTGAGGCAGGCTGAGGCTGAGGCTGAGGCAGGTTGAGGCTGAGGCAGGCTGAGGCTGAGGCTGAGGCTGAGGCAGGCTGAGGCTGAGGCAGGCTGAGGCTGAGGCCGAGGCTGAAGGCAGACAGAGGCTGAGGCTGAAGCAGGCTGAGGCTGAGGCAGAGGCAGGCTGAGGCTGAGGCAGGCTGATGCTGAGGCAGGCTGAGGCTGAGGCTGAGGCTGATGCAGGCTGAGGCTGAGGCAGCCAGAGGCTGACGCCGAGGCTGAAGGCAGACTGAGGCTGAGGCTGAAGCAGGCTGAGGCTGAGGCTGAGGCAGGCTGAGGCTGAGGCTGAGGCAGGCTGATGCTGAGGCAGGCTGAGGCTGAGGCGGAGGCTGATGCAGGCTGAGGCTGAGGCAGGCTGAGGCTGAGGCCGAGGCTGAAGGCAGACTGAGGCTGAGGCTGAAGCAGACTGAGGCTGAGGCTGAGGCAGGCTGAGGCCGAGGCTGAAGCAGGCTGATGCTGAGGCAGGCTGAGGCTGAGGCTGAGGCTGATGCAGGCTGAGGCTGAGGCAGGCTGAGGCTGAGGCCGAGGCTGAAGGCAGACTGAGGCTGAGGCTGAAGCAGGCTGAGGCTGAGGCTGAGGCCGGCTGAGGCTGAGGCAGGCTGAGGCTGAGGCCGAGGCTGAAGGCAGATTAAGGCTGAGGCTGAAGCAGGCTGAGGCTGAGGCTGAGGCAGGCTGAGGCTGAGGCTGAGGCAGGCTGATGCTGAGGCAGGCTGAGAGGCTGAGGCTGATGCAGGCTGAGGCTGAGGCAGGCTGAGGCTGAGGCCGAGGCTGAAGGCAGACTGAGGCTGAGGCTGAAGCAGCTGAGGCTGAGGCTGAGGCTGACTGAGGCTGAGGCTGCAGGCTGAGGCTGAGGCAGAGGCAGGCTGAGGCTGAGGCTGATGCAGGCTGAGGCTGAGGCAGGCTGAGGCTGAGGCCGAGGCTGATGCAGGCTGAGGCTGAGGCAGGCTGAGGCTGAGGCCGAGGCTGAAGGCAGACTGAGGCTGAGGCTGAAGCAGGCTGAGGCTGAGGCTGAGGCAGGCTGAGGCTGAGGCAGGCTGAGGCTGAGGCTGAGGCAGGCTGAGGCTGAGGCTGTGACTGCGACTGCCGTTGCCACTGCGACTGTCATCGCGAATGCGACTACGACTGCGAGAACAGCAGAATTCTACAACTGGATTATCATCTGAATCTTAAGGGGAATGCTTCCAGATATGCTCCTACACATCGCTGTTAGGTTGCTTTGCCGGGATAATCGCAATGTCTGATCTCTGGGCTGGTCTCCAGCACGAGCCTGTGCGCGTTCAACAATGGACCTCTTGCTGCCCATCAGCCTTCGGAGGTCCGTCGCGTCTCTCGATGGGCCTCTGCACGATTGCTGGGCTGTTGCTCCTGGCGGGTGGCCATTGCCGAACACCTGGATGAGAGCACGCTGCTCAGTCAATATTTCTGAACAGTGGTGAAAGTGGCGAACACCTGCAACGGGCATCTCGCCACAAACCATTGATAGGTTGCCGTCGGTACGCGCGCGAACCGTCACCGTTGTTGACGTCGAATTCAGTATCTAAAGTGAGCGCAGGAGAACTGAAAGCGCACATGCCTGCTACACAGTTCGCGAAGCTTTCGTTCACTTCCGTGCAATCCTACCTTAACCAATTGATCTGCTGCCGTTTCAAAAAAAAAACCTGAAACAAGTCTTGCGCAGTCTCTGCTTCAACGCGCCATTCCGCGGAGCGCGTGCCACACCTGCTGCTTTTGGGCGTGCGGCCCTCCCTTGAACGAAGGATTGCAAAAAAACCCAAGGATTGCAAAAAAAACCCTTCGTTGAACGAAGGATTGCAAAACAACCCAAGGATTGAAAAAAACCTTGAACGAAGGATTGCAATCCTTCGTTCAAGGTTTTTTTGCAATCCTTTGCAATCCTTCGGTTTTTTTGCAATCCTTCGAACTCACGCGTGGTAGATCAGCCCGGCCTCGTGGTCGGCCCGGAGCCTGCTGTCGCCGTCCAGCAGCCAGGCCCGCCCCACTCTCGCGCGCAGCAGGCGCATCGGAATCGGCACCAGCCACCAGCACAGGCGCGCCAGGGCGCACGAACGCGTGGTGTCCTTGAAGGGGCCCCAGGACACACAAAGAAATACACACAAATTAAAAGGATTCCCTATGTTTTCCCATATTTTCTGGGTTTCTGTCTTCCCCCCCACTTCCCATATTTTCCCATATTTTCTGGGGAAACGAGGATTAATTGTGTCTGTGTGTGTTTTTCCCCTCCTGACGGGCGCACGCACGCGCAGGAGTGGCCCTGGGCAGCAGCGACCTCCGATGCGCGGCTTCCGGGGGCATGCGAAGGGGCCAGATCCAGGCGCGCAGGCTGGTGCTGGGGTTGGCTCCTGCGGGCCCGCATCAGAGGCCACTTCGGCGAAGGGCCATCCTACGCGCAGCCGGTCCTGGCGCCATGGCCGCAGGCCCTTGCCCGCGACCGCCGGCGGGAGTGCGGGCAGCTGCGGAACTTGTGCCGCCGCCGCGCCGCCGCCCGAAGCCTCCGCCCGGCCGCCGCCCAGGGCCACGTGCCCCTCTGGGGCGCGCGGGCAGCTGACGGCCGGGGCAGTGTCCTTGGGCGCTGCTGCCGCGGGCGCCGCCGCGAGGGCCTCCGTGAGCGCCGCCGCGGCGAGCGCGGGGGCGTCGCCGAGGGCGTGCGCGGCCGAGGGGCTCGCCACTGGCGCCTCCACTGTCACCTGGGCACGCGAGCTCGCGACCCCATCTGCGACAGAGCCAGGACGAGGATCAAGTCGGACGAGGATGAAGCGGGAATCTCTGAGAGCTGGCGGGTCTCGAAGAGAGGCGCCAGCTCACGACGGCTCGAGCCCCAGGGTCCGAGATCGACCCATCGATCTGTCCCGGAGCTCGTTCTGTGACCACGGCCCGTGCGGAAATCCAGCCGTGGCGACAAAAAGCCTCGCAAAGGCACCCAAGCAGGTCCAAGGACGTCCGGGAGTCTCAATCCTCGGGGTCGCCAGCCCCGCGCCTTCTTTCCTCCGACGTCGTGACTTGTTCGCGTGATGTGGGCCGGCGGGGATCTCGACCTCTTCCATGGGACCAACCTCCCATCTTGATTGAATCTTTTCTTATGGTCCCAAAGCGAGGTGGTGCGGTGACAGCAAGTGCGGTGACCTCGGAATCCCCAAATACTTCACCGCACGGTTCGTCACCGCACTGTTTTGGGACCCTGGAGGCCCCAGTCGCAAGTTCCAAAACCGTGCGGTCACCCCGAATCCCCACTGACACGCCGTACGTTTTTTGTTTGAGGAGGAGGAGGAGGAGAAGGAGGGTGAGGAGGAGAAGGGGAAGGAGGAGGATGCGGCCACAAAATGTTCGCACTTCGCGGCAGGCAGCACAGAGCCATTTAAAATTATGTACGCCAAGCAAGCTGGGAACGCCACAGGAGCCGACCCGCAATAGGCAAACTCAGCTTGTGAACAGCAGCCTGAAAGAGAAAGCAGCCGCGCTGCGGATACTCAAGACCGTAACGGGGAGGAGGAAGAGGAAGGACGAGGTAATCTGGCCGCCGCGTTCGCTTCACGAGCGCACGCCCTTACACGTGCATCGACCCGGCTGGACAGAGACCCCCGTGTCGGCAAAAAGCTTTCCGGGGGGCGGGATGCCACCAGAGCAAACCAAGACGGACAAACTACACCGAGGATGAGGAGGAGGAGGAGGAGGAGGAGGAGGAGGAAGAGGAGGAACAGGAGGAGGAAGAAGGGAGCGGAGAGCAAAGACAGTTCAAGCCCGCATGGGGTGGTGTACAGAAGTATGCCTAGGCCACGACCGTGAACGACCACGAGCCCACAGTGCAAGGGAGCGGCGACGAATGAGCGAACAGCTCCAGAAGTCAAGTCCAATACCACCGCAAACCAATGGCGGGCCGCAGGAGGCAGACGCCTGGTGCGGCCAGCGGGTCTCACCGCAAAACCGGCGCGGACGGGGCGGCGCCAGTGTTCTGGCGCGTCAGCCGCCCCTGGAGGCCGAGCGCCTCGCCCCGCCACCAGGAGGAGAGGAGGGGAATGGGGAGGAGGCAAACGAGGATAAAGGGGGATGGAGAGACGAACGCACGCGACGACCGTCTCGTTCGACCACTCGCCGCCCTCCAGGCGGTCGGCACTGCGTTTGAAACGCCGGGGACGCGAACGAGAAGGAGGTGGAGAAGGAGGAGGGGAGGAAGAGGAAAGAGGGGGAGGGCAGTCCTGACCCCGCTAGTGGACGGACAAAGGATCCTAAGCGAAGCCTCGGATCCACCTGCAACTGAAAGGGAGGAACGCGCTCGCCGAGCGAGGTGCCAACTGATCTCCGTGCCTTCGGCCATGCAGCGCCACGCGGAGGGTCGCCATGCAGATCGCATCCTCCACGGCTTTCGCCAGCTGCCGAGTGGCCACCGCCGTCGACAATGCCCGCTCCGCGACGTGTGGGGGTGTGTGCACGCGTGCTCTCCAAACTCATGGGACGGCGTCCGCACCCGGAGCGCAGCACCGTATGCATCGCGCTCCTCCTGCAGCCGGCACCTCGCCTCCTGCTGGGCAAGAATGCCTTGAACGGGTGGCCCTGACCCCAACACTCGGTGGCCGAGCGTGCGGCCTCGAGCACTCTGCGATCCAACGCATCCCGAAAAGCATGCGGGCTCGCGGCGTCGCAACCGGTGCTCGCCGAGCTGGCGGTGGTCTCGCAGCCGGCTCTCGTGCAGCCGACCCTCCTCCTCCTCCTCCTCCTCCTCCTCCTCCTCCACCTTTTGCATCCTCGGGAGGAGGAGGAGGAGGAGGAGGAGGAGGAGGAGGAGGAGGAGGAGGAGGAGGAGGAGGAGGAGGAGGAGAGGAGTCTGGTCGAGGGCAATGTCGACAGCAACGGCAGAGCGGCAGCCTCGCTGGACGCCTGGCCGAAGTACCCGACAACTGTGACCAGCCGCCCTGGCTGGGAGGCAACAGCGTCGAGGCGCCCCCTGGCCTCGACGAGCTGCCTCCAGGCTCGCAGCCCACGCGAGGAAGGCCTCGAAGCGGCCGAAGGTGGCCGCGCGCCCCGCGAGCTGCCTGCGCCGCGCCGCCGCGCGCAGGGCCGCCGCTGGCCGGCGAGCCTCCAGCGCCGAACTCCCCGCAGCGGGCCAAGCCGCCGCGCCCAGGCCAGCGACCGCAGCCATGGCTCAGGGGGGCTCGGTCCAGGATCCGAAGATCGGGAAGCGGAGGGGCTGGGAAGCGGGAAGGAGCGAAGGAAGGGGGTGAAAACCATTGCGGTGGCCAGGCCCGCCGTAGAGTGGCCGGCGCCCTTGCGCCAGCATAGGGCGCGTGAACAGCGCTGCCTGGCTGGCTGGAGCCTTCTGGGAACCCGCCCCTGGGCTCCCCAGCCAGGACAGGACGCCGGCGCGGGCCATTAGGGCGGCATGAGGGTGGGCAGAAAGCTAGCAGACAGCCGCCAGGATGCCGGGCGCCGCGCCACGGAGTCGCTCCCATCAGGGAGCACGCAGGCGCGGCTCCTTTCAGGGAGCTTTGGGGCGCCGCTCCTGTCAGGGAGCACACAGGCGCGGCTCCTTTCAGGGTGCTTTGGGGCGCCACTCCTGTCCGGGAGCACGCAGGAAGGGAGCTTTGGGGCGCCGCTCCGATCAGGGAACACACAGGCGCGGCTGCTTTCGGGGAGCTTTGGGCGCCGCTCCTATCAGGAAGCACGCAGGCGCAGCTCCTTTCAGGGAGCTTTCGGGGCGTCGATCCTACCAGGGAGCTTTTTGGCGCAACTCCTGTCAGGGAGTTTTCGGCCGCTGCTCCTGTCAGGGAGCATTCTAGTTTTGACTTGCAGAAGACATCGCGTGGGAGGAGTAACGGAAGAACTGCGAGACACCATCGGCCCAACGGACGAGTCCCGAGCAGCGCGGGCGAAACGCCATGCAAGACCGCACCAGAGGACACACGAACGGACCAGGGCGAGCATACTTCCGCCGCTTCGCGCAGAAAACCGCAGGCCGCCAGGACCGCAGCCCGCTGCGCAGGCATTGGGCGTGCAGGAATGGAGGAGTGGAGGCGAACACACGTGGGGCTGCTCCTCATGATTTTCCTGCAACATAAACGAGCTTATGAATCATGAAAAGCGAGACTGACTCACCGCACGGTGTGGTCACCGCACCGCCTGGGCCCCCTGGATTTTTGCGGTCCTGGCCCAGCGACTTCCCCCCTGGAGGCTGAAAACAACTAAAGACCGTCCGCCGATTTCTTGTTCACTACGCGAAGGGGCCTTGGCCCCAAGGCCAGACGTCGGCCCCTCGGCCTGCCCAGGGATGCGCCCCAGCCACAGAACCTCGAGGCGGACCCGGCCGTGACCACGAGAAGCCTCACCCAGGCACGAGAAGGACGAAGAAGAGCGCCCACAAATCCTCGGCCCGAACACTTCAGAAGGGGCTCCTCTGACCTCCGACGTGGCGAAGCAGCTGCAGCGTCGCGAGAAACCACGGACGGAGCCTCAGACCCCATTCGCCTGCGGCACTTCTCGAGCTGGATCGCTCTGCGATGGCCTTGGGGCCCGAAACCAGGCGACCACGCCCGACATGAAAATATTGCAGCGCCCGGGTCGCAGGCTCCGGCGCCTCCGCGGGCGCCTCTGCGGGCGCAGCCGCGGGCCCCTCTGCGGTCGCCGCCTCCGCCTCGGGCGCCGCCTCCGCCTCGGACGCCGCCGTGCTCGGCGCCTCCGCGGCCGCCGCGCCCGGCTCCGCGGGCTCCTCCGCCGCGGGCGGTGTCGCCACGGGCTGTGCCGCCACGGGCGCGGCCGCGGGCGCAGCCGCGGGCGCCGAGAGGTC